GATGGACACGACACGACCACGATCGCAGTTGATACAATAGAACAATCGCCGCATCTCATCGCGATGCTTCCTGAAGCAAAAACCTGATCGATCGCCTCAGCGGCGTGGGACAGACACGTCTTCATCTCCAGAACGTTACCTGGCTTTTTTTTATGTCCACAGGATCTGAAGAAACCCTAAAGCCAAATAGTCGATTAAGAATTAGCATGTGCTACGTCTAGATTTCATATTTTTACCGGTCGCACATTCGTGCCGTTTTCACACTTTCAGCGAAATTGTTGTTATTGAAAATCGCACATTACTATGGGATCTGCGAATGTTGCATGCAGCCCTGCATATTTACTACATCTTTCTCAAACAGCAGGCTCTCGTAAAGAGTAAACACTGTGCTTACCGCAAGACTGTCACTTTTCTTTGGGAAGCTCTGAACATTCGCAATGCGTCAAATGTTTTATGAACACCCTTCATAATTTCCCGCAACGAAGCTCGAGGCGTTAAATTTTTAATTAGGTTTTAATGTTCCATGGCGATCGGGTGGATTCGAACTGGGAGGCTTCCCCTCGCACTGCGTATAACGTGGCTTATACGTTATACGTTATACATGGGCTTCTGCAAGGTTTTCACTTTGCTTTCCATGGCGTTGATGCGCTGCTACAAGGGTCACGTATTTTAAGTACATGTACCCGAACTAGTACCCCGACTTTTTTCCGAAAATCTTTGCTCTTAACGCTGCTGTTTTCCCTAAGCTCATACGATGCGCTTACGCGAGACGCGTGAAAAAGCATCGAAGTTCTTCGTGAAAAAAGCAAGGCTAAAAGAAAAATACTCAAAATAAGTTGGACGTTGAAAATGGACTGGGTGCTGGCAGTTGCAGGAAGAACATGCCGCAGGTGTAATTTTTCATTGTTGCTGTATCTCGATAAATATAAAATAAAAATAAAAATTTCAAAGCGGTGTTTGTAAACGTATCAGTCCATGCAGTACAAGTTTCGCGAGGAAAGCTCCGAAGTTACTCCTTATACAAGGATTTAAAGGTTAAACGTAGAGGTTTTTTTTTTTTTTTTCAAACTCCGTATATCACTTGTCCAGAGCAAATTCTCCAGAGCAAACCCGGCAATCCCCAAGGAGAGTGTGTTAATCGATGAATCCGGTCGATCACGCTCCCCAAGCACGTCGACGCAACCCCGCATGTATTTATTCCTTCCCCTCCTCCCCGTCCCCCCCAATTCCCCCGTTTCGCTCCCCGACGTCCACTTGCCCCCCTTTTGCCCCCCCCCCCCTTTGCCCCCTCGACGATGGCTGACGCGGCCGACCAGGAAGACACCCCAGCCGCCGACGAGGACCAGGTCAGTTCGGCTTTCCGATCTCATTAGCATATTTCCTTATTATTTATCGATCTTAGCGTACCAAAACAATTTATGGTATTAGGATTCATGCAGAAAAAAAAGGAAACAAAAAAATTGCTTCCCTACGAGCTTACATCTGTGACTTAATCGGATGGGGTTCAGGTCAAAGAGCAAGACAGCCAGCCAGACTGGAAAAAAAAAAGGTCACGGTTGAAAAGAGTCGCGTCATCTACGTTTCGATCCCCGAATATTCTTCTGCCGTTTCCACGCAATTTCCGCGTCATTTTTTTACCGTGCATGCCATCTCCACAATGAGCCTTTTATTGCACACCTAATATCAAGTCCCATCTTCACGAAGGACCCGTGAAGGCCATCGAGTCCAGACGGCGATAAGGCTCGACCAATGGGAAGGCTCGAATCCGAAGGTCACGCCAATCACGTGACCGAGGCGAAAACGTCACGAAAACGTTACACCGCTGCCGAACTTCCAGTTGCCCGTCTGCTCGACGAAATTCGTTTTTGAAATCCTGAAATTTCTTTCGTTTTATTTTCTCCCGGGACCCATTCGTCCAAATCGATTAAATTTCTCCTGCTCGAGATCGAACTACTGGTTGCACCCATTTGCCAAGGAGAGCTCTCTTTTCCATTTTCGGGTAAAATTAATGCCGCGAAGGAATTTTTTTAACTTAAATTTTGCGCCTGAATTTCGCTTGCCGTCGCGAGAATCGGCTTGGCAATCGGCAACGATTCTCATTCGAGCGTGCAATCCAACATTGGGCACAAAGATTTCGAAATGATAAAATAATTTTCCCTTACTATTCTTCTTGCATTTGGAGATATTCGAACTCCTACCCCCCCCCAAAAAAAAAAAGTCTGGTTGCGCCGCTGCATAAACCAGAATGAAGTTGCAAGCCTCCGACGACCGAACGGAACGTCATGGCTGCCGCATTTATAATTTAAAGCACTGCGTCCTTGGACGGGTCGATGCTCGGTCCTAGATTTAGTTTCCGGCAGGTGCGTTTTTCTCACGCTTTCCTCGCGAACCAAGGGAGACTTGCAGATGGCTTTTTCTTTCCGGGGATCCGCCCTCAAAATTTTGGAAAAGTTTGCCCCCCGATTTGCCAGAGCTTCCTCTCGTCCCGAGCCTCCCGGGGGAAGTTCAACGTGCAATGCGAAACCGAAATTTTATGGACCCAGAAATTCCAGGCGACCCGAAGAAGCTGGAAGAGCCGTTCGCCCTCGAGTAACATCCGTTAAATTTTCTCGGAAATTTCCAGGATCTTCCCGAGGAGACGCAAAGAGCGACGATCGAGGTCGACGTGCGGGCAGCCGAGCCCCCGGCCGGCGAAGAGCCGGAAGGCGGGATGGAGGAGGGCGGAGGACCGGAAGGTGGGATGGAAGAGGCCGGAGGACCGGAAGGCGGGATGGAAGAGGCCGGAGGACCGGAAGGCGGGATGGAAGAGGCCGGAAGACCGGAAGGCGAGATGGAAGAGGCCGGAGGACCGGAAGGCGGGAAGGAGGAGGGTGGAGGACCGGAAAGCGGGAAGGAGGAGGGTGGAGGACGGAATGAAGGGATGCCGACGGCCGGCGTGGCGACTGTCAAGTTCCAGCTGCAGGGAACAGGTCTGTACGTGGCATGCAAGGCATAAATACGACTAGGACTTTATGTGCTGATCCATGCACGTTTTCAAAACAGCAGCGAGAAATTTCTCGTAGAAAGAGCGACCTTTTACAGACGTGTGCTTTACGTGATTCCTTCCCGTTGACGTCGATTCGGTAGCGAATCGACGCTTCCAAACGAGGAAACACCGGAGATTCTTGTAAATTCAAATAACGCATCCGTGCATGCAGACGAATGCTCGGAGGACACGACGGTGATGACCCGAGCCTGCGACATCTCCTGGGACGTCCGACGCCTCAAAGAGGAACTGGATCCGAAGGGCGACACCTTGGAACTGTGGCTCGGCGACCGCCGCCTGTCGGACCGCGAGACCCTCCGCGAATGGGTGCGACCGAGCGAGAGCATCTCCATCCGTCTCCGCCTTCCCCCGACCTCCTCGCAGGACAAAGAGGAGATTCCCCTGCTGAAGAAGTTCCCGGCCGTTCGGACGCCCCTCCCGGTCCCGGACGTCATCACCCTGCAAGTTCCCACCGGTACGTTGCGTCTTGAAGGCGCGAATCGCGTACAGATTAACGAATTTCCAGCTGAATATCGGCGCAGTGATATTTGGGCCGAATTCCGACATTAATTATGTTCGTTTTAAGCTTTCATAATTCACAGCTCAAATTCCGTTTCCACCATTTCATAACATTTTTCTTCGTTTCATTTTCTTTGCTCGCGTGTCCGCACCGTTTCGCGTTTTTCGTCGAGCATATCTCTCCTGATCGATTTGATAATGAGAACTCCGAACTCCCCCCTGCCCCCCCCCATGCAGAGGACGGAGACATGAAGACGATGGTGGTGGAGATCTGGCACCAGAGCAAGAAGAAGCCCTACCTCGGTGGCTTTCGGAATCGCCTCAACGGACGGATATTCCACAATGCCACCACTCAAACGGCCAAGCCGTCCAGCCGCAATTTCAAAGCCAAAGGTTCCTTTTTTTTCCCCCTGTATTGTATCATCCCCCTTACGAAGAAGCCATCCCAAAATCGACGGAAATTTTTTTTTATGATTGACAGGCCAAGAGAGTATTTCTCGGCCTTTTAGCATTTCAAAAGTTACCATTCCCAACATTTTGTTAGCAATGGTTGAAACTCTTCAAGACCAACCACGAATAAAAGATCAGCACCACCTCTCGGGATATTCAGAAAGGGACAATCGAAGAGAACTCCTGCAGAGTTGATACCCGGCAATACAGTGACGCAGCGTGGTTGACATGGGCACGAAACGGGGCCTGCTGTCCAATTTCTTATCGAATTATGTATTGTGTGGGGGTCATTTTTTTCCTAGTTTTCTCCGGCAGCATATAAATCGTCGTCGGGAGCTGAAGTCAGTGTGGAAGGCAGTGGTGGATACTGAAATTTTTCATGGGGGGGGGGGGGGGGGCCTGCCCCCACTCCCCCATCTACCACCACCCTCCGTCCCATCGCCTTATTCATTTTTCGTCTGGGGTAAAAACCTTGAATATCCATTTCACAGGAGCTAAGAAACATTAATTTATGTGCTTTCTAAATTTAAAAAATAGACTGCGAACTTGACCAGAGAAGGGGCAGTCGCCCTCCCCCCCGCTCCTGGTTCCGCCACTAGTGAAAGGGTGAATACAGGGCCGGATCGAGAAGTTGCGAGGCTAGGGACAAGTGAATTCTTGGTCCCCCCCCTTAATCCGGCCATGGGGGTATTGGAAGTGGCCACCACTTCATTGAACCACACGAAGCGGCGTCCCAGTTGCGAGATGTCTCTGTGCAGTGTCGCGTTCAATTCCTTTCATTCCTTTTCACCTTTTCGGCTACTGACTCTCCACCTCGTCCCGATGCCAAGGGGCTCCCAGCTAACGCCCCCCCTGCCTCCTCCTCTCTTCGTAGCTCGGGGTGTGGGTCCCTCTGGCCCGTGGGCCCCGGTGCAGTCGCACCGCCTGCACTTTTGGTAGCTACGCCGCTGCGGCGATAGTCGAAATGAAGACCTTGCTTCGATGAAACGCCTTTTCCCGTGCAGACTTGGTGACGAGGGAGGTCCAGACGGTGCAGGCGGTCGAGGAAGGAACCCAGACGGGACGCGAGGTTGCCGTCCAGGCTCCGCCGAATGCTCTTTCCAGACAAGCTGACGTCATCATGATCCCTCAGCGAGATCATCTTGCCGAGTCCAGCTGCAAGGAGCTCGAGAAACACGTATGATTTGATATCATTCTTCGATCATGCTTCTATCCCAGAGTAAGGAGCACTGTTGACGCGTTTCCTTCTGCTGCCCATGATGGACGACTGCTTTGACGAATCTCACGGACTTTGCAGTATGTACTGTGAGCTTCTGGAGATGATAAATGCATCAATAAATTGAAAGTATTTCAGATGCAGTAATTCAAAATTCCCCCGAAGCAACACCGATTGCATGGTTGCGAGCACCACGCAGGAGTTCGCACCTAATTGTCACGGAAATCCATGTGAATTTGATGGCTCGTGCACTCTGTGATGTGTAATTAGAAGGCCTGTACTACCTGTGATGTTCCCACTATATTTATGCTTAAAATCAAAATAAATGCCTTCCTTTCTGCTTCTTCCTGTGCTTCATTCAATACTGTAAAGCAAGGGGTGACTTGCAATGAGGGCTACTCTGAACTGACTTTGATTTGCATAGTGATATGACTGGAAGTGAAACTATCTACCTAATACCCCAAATAGCATTTCCCCATGCTTACAGGGAAAAATTATTTTAGGTGTTAGAAAGATAATATCTCTTGCAGAAGCATGGATAACTTGCAAGTCAGAATCTGTTTCAGGTCATCCCACTTTACTGTACATTTATGATAGCACAACATGCAAAACTTAAATTCACCAATGCCAGAGAGTTTACCAACGAGATAGGAGGAAAAGGTAAAGGCTGCAAAGACAGGAACGAGATTGTGAATAAAATACAACACATGCATGCAGGCACTGGTGCTGCAGCGCTATTGGCGTCGATGGAAGGCAGCCCGGCGGTTCCAGAGGGTTCAGGAGTCCCGTCGTCTCAGGCTGGCGTGGGAGGACGAGATGAAGAGACAGGAGACCGAAGAAGCTGCTCAGAGAAAGCTTGTGAGTACCTCATTTTGCCATAAACAAATGCAAGTTTGGCAATCAGGTGGGAAAACAAAGTAGACTCAAGGATCTTAATATCAATCAAATGTGGGTTGTACCACTCAGAAGCTTTAGACACGATCATAGATTTAATTAATGTTCTTTTGTAGGTCTGGGAATGCATGGAAGAAGCCCTTTCCCATAAAAGTTCATTCATGGGTGAAATTTCTCATGACTTGTGTTTATTGGATCAACTACCCCAAAAACATATATATATTTTATGTTCACACTCTTCAGCATTATAATCAATATTTTTGGGACGTCACTAGTCAACTGACATTGAAGCCACTATGCTGAACATGAGAGCAGTTAAAAGTGCAGCATTTGTAACAGGAAGATGAGATGAAATGCCAAAAGCCAGAGACAAGGCGAGACTTGGACCTAGTCCACAGTGAACTGGAGAGATGGCGAAATGAGGAAATCCTGAGCATAAATGCCACCAAATCAGGCTGGGAGAGGAAAGCAGCCTTGTGTCAGATCCTGGAGAAAGAAATTGCCGCCCTTGCCTCCATCGATCAGCAACGTGCAGTCATCTCCTGTGAAGAGACTCTCAGGACCCTTCGCAAGTTTCTTCAGGAGGTCTGCAGGAACACCTCCATCACAAAAAGAAAAGGTAAATAAGTGCTGGAAGAAGCAGGTAAATGCTAATATTCTTTTGATAGAGTGCATCTCCAATCAAGTGGATTGGGAAGAACCAGAAGACCCTGTATATGGAGAATGACACTGTTGTTCGAGGCCAGGCTCTGAAAGAAGTCTATGAAAGGCTATCAAATACTAACAGCACTGTGGAGGAGAGGAAACTTGTCCTTCAGGACCTTCTTGATATGGTGAAATACTTTTTTGATCTTTTGATAATGACAGAAGCTGAGCATTATATAAAATATCTCTATTGCAAGGCAGTTAAGAAAGGAAGACAGAAGACTAAGTCAAGAGCTACAGGATCTCGCTAAAAGGGAATTGGATCTCCTGAACCGGGGAATCAAATTCAATCACTTAGATGGCCTCAGAATCAGACTCCTCACTCTCTTCACCCAGTATATCCAGTCCCCCCTTCACAATCCCAGGATATGTCACATTCCTGAGGTACTTTCTCCCTTTGCCACCTCTGTCTCTGAACATGGACCATGGATCACTTGAATATTTCTCCTGAAAAAAATGCAAAGCAGAAAAGGGAGGAAACACGGCAGTGCCTAAACTGCCAGGAATTTAAGCCCAAGGCAGGGATGGAACGGGGTCGATGCAAGTCGTGTCAGGCACTGGCTCATAAGAGCATTGGGTCTACTAATCACAGTGTTTATCATCACATTTTGGAAGCAATCAAGAAGGATGAACAAGACTTGGCACTGCTCCTACATGGACACAGAGACACCCACTTCTTCCCTGCTTTCCACATCGATGTCAGTTATCTCTCCTTAAATCTAACAACAAATAGCAATTTGAAGCCAAATGTCAGACTTGTGTGATTAGGAAAGTGATGTTGAATTCCTGGTGAACACCATCTGGAATGGTCAATCAGCTCTGAGTAACGAAAACAATCCATACGACTTGGCCTTACCACGCTGGGAAGCACTCAAGCCCTGGGCTCCATGGAACTGCATTCTCCTTACTCTCAGTGAAGCCAAAGCTCATCGGAAAGCTCTTCTTAGAAAGAAGGTAAGGACTTTTTTTTTTAACTATGCATTCTGGGAAGATTCTTGAACTGAACTGAATTATTCTTTCTTGCTTCAGCCTTACAGCATGGCTTTCGAACAGAAGATACGCCAAACCCTGAACCTTGCTCGATTGCACTTTTCGCATCTGATCAGAATTCCTCAATAAGTCATTAGTCAGAAGGAATCCAAGATTTATATACAATCGCATACATCAAACATTGTCAGTAATATACAATAACCAACAATAGATGCGTAACCCGTAGATCAATACAAAAAAGTGGAATGGTTCCTCTCAACTGTATCACAGTCTCAGGTGCTAGCAATGAGATTAGTCTTGGTCATTTCATTGTCCAATGGCATGGAGTACAGTTGTCAAACAGAAAGTAGATTAGAAAAGATCAGCAGCACCATATCGGATCTCTTCCAGATGTTCATTGATTGTTTCCACCACTTGATTAAGTTGTACCTTGAGTTCTGCATACTCCTTTTCTGTATCACTGGCATCTGGGTTTTCCTTGAGGGCCTGACGTGCCAATTGGAGATGTGCTGTCTGAAAAAAATAAAAGGAACAATGCATTTCAACTTGACATATTTGTTAGTACTGGAGTATTTTTTTTTTTTACCCTACAACTAACCAATTCCAATTTCTTCTCTTCATTTTCTTGCACCCCAACAATGAACTCTGCTATTTGCTTCTGGTCAAGTTCTTCACGGAGTCTCCTCTGAATCTCAAGGATGCCTTGGGAGATACGCTTGAATTCCTGAGTTATGTCTTGTACCAAGTGTCGGAAGCGAGGGAAATCATAACTTGGTCCTGAGCATAAGTACATCTTGTGCCCTCTGGAAGATAGAGATGAATTTTTAGCCATGACAGCCCTTTCCATATGAAGAAATCTAAAAATTCCACTAACTCTTCAAAGAGATGATATGTCTGAGCTCTCTCCTCTTGAAGATTCTGAAATTTCTTGATCAATTCATAAGCAGTGATTTTCTTATCATCCATGTTTGCAGACTTGGAGATTCCAAAGATTCAAAAAATTTCTGGCTCTGCTTTGAATGGAACCTAGGGGAGGACTTTTCTATTTTCAATTTTGCTGGAGCAAGAATTTCTCTTTCTGTGCCAATCCTATATACCTGTATATTAAACAATAATTATAACTCCCTCAAGTTATTAGGCCTGGGTGAGTAGTTGAAGAATAAGGATACATCACGCTTGCAGTATGGCAAAATTCCCCCCCTCCAACACAAGGGGTGGAGCTATTCATGTGGCACAATCAGTTTGTGGTGCATGTACACATGCAGGTGAGAAGTTGTTCTAAAGGAATCTCATATACACCTGCCCTGGGCAAGGTGTGATGGCCCATAGTGGAGCACACATATTTCTAGGATTCACCTGTCATTGCACAATAACTACCTATGCTTCTTTTTTTTTCTCTTTCTGGGTACAAGAGAAAACCATGAGAAAAGGAATTGTTAAGATGGGTTCATGCTTGTGCTGTGTAGCATGTTGATCAAATAGAAACAATTCCTATTCTGAGATTACAATCAAAATTATGTAGTACAGCAGATACAGTACTACATCTGCAAAATAGTGCATCCAATAATTGGATCCTAATGTGTACTGTATCCAACATGCTGTACAACAGGAGTATGAATTAGGCCTTACAGTGAATCTACCTTGGATCTGATATCAAATGGTGAGAGCTAAAGAGAGAACACTTGTCAAACTCCAGATTTGAGGAATTCAGGGAACAAAGGACAGGCATTGAGAAAATATTCATTTCTGATGGACTTAAACCCTCCACAGTATGTCAAGTCATCAAAAATATGTACCTGAACAAGTTTCAACTGGTTTTAACCCTCCAGAAGGAAGATGGACTGGTGTAATACCAAGTATTACTCTGTAGTCTAGCAGGCATGAAAGTGATAAATAAGTGACACATGCAAGTAGGACAAGTCTCTTCTGGGACATCTCTCTAGTTAGCCCTTAGAAGCTCATGTTTGACAGAGTTTTTCAACTCCATCACTGGCCTGGGTTCATAGTTTGTTTCACACCAGAGCCAATGCTTTGTAGAAGTTAGGTTCCAGAAGGCCTTCTGAAGAGTAAGGATACAAGGTAAGTATGATGCAGTTCATGTCCATCTTCAACATAACATAGGTATATTAAATGTTGAGAATAAAGCACTAGGCAGGGTGAACAATACTCAGAATGGAGTATGAAATGTTATCCAAGTAAAGCCACCTCTTCTCCTACCAACCATCTAGAGAATGAGGGATCCCAACATAAGGCCTGGCCAATCATTTGAGGCCAGGTACTAACAACTAACTCACAGGCCTCCACAGAAGGGACCTGGAAGAAGTCCAACATCAAGCTAGGAAGGAAAAGAGAGATGCAGACACTGAGGAGTCCAGGATTCCTATCACTCAGCATCCCAAGCATATTTAGAAAGGAGATTGGAGTAGAGTAGGAATGTGCATTGTGAGGCCTGCATGCCACCAGCAGCCTAAGTGTAAACATCTTAAGGAGTAATTTTTTTTTAAACTCCAGTAAATTTTTGCACTTGACCATAAATTAGGAAGTTGCATAATATCTATAGCCCAAATATCCTCACAGGCTGCCATTAGTAGCAGTCACCCACAGCCTCCACATCCTGGACATATAATAATCAGACATTGGAGTTGGAAGTGTTTCCCAGTGAAATCAAGGAGGTAAGCCATTGCCAGAAGTATGTTAATTTCAGGGAAATTGACCCTGCACGATTTGGAACACAATCCACCTTGGAACTGAATGCAGACTGGATTTCTGGGCCCCTGAAAAGATAGAGCCCTGATTTATCTCTATTCTTCAAGTGTGGGGATAAAAGCCACTGTGTTCTCACATAAAAGTATCTTATAGATTTCAGTCTCCTATTTATGGGTCAACTTTATGTTCCCCACATGTAAGGTCAATTTTTAGTTATTTATTAGGGGAGGGAATTTAAGGTTGGACCATATTTCTTAGATGAGGTTAAAAGTCTCCTTCACTGATTTCTTAAGCCAAACACAAAATTCATGGGCATGTCTCTGTTTTGAAGTAATGAATATACTGTCCTCAGCAGCCATAACAAACAAGGGTTATTCAATTATGATTTCTTGAAAACAATCAGTAAGCCAAGCAACTTTTCTCTTCTGCTGCTACAAGCCAACTGAACAAACTCCAATATGATATGAATGACTTTAGGGTCAGTCACACTGGCATTTCCATTGGGCTAGTCTTCAAACTTTTCAATATTTCCTCATAGAGAGGAGTATTTACAATACAGTGTGCTCTAATTCAGTTCACTCCTTTTCATCGAAAATGAACAGTTTCTTAGTGGAACAAAAGTAATCTCAATTGGAAAACACAATTGCATGATCTCGAAAAGAACGTTCCAAATTGCATGTTAGAATCTCACCTCAGCAGTGTTTCATGGTAGATCTTGGGCAATTAGTAAGCTCAACTTAGAGTAGGCATGTTGGGGAGATGTTATGTCAGAGAAGATAAATACATCATTTCAGAAGGGTAACGGCGGAAGGCGAATCGTACAGGGACAAGTCATGGGTAAAAGTATTGGGATCCAATGGAAGAAAAATTACATCCTCAATTCACAGGACCATGAAAATAGCCCCTTTTTTCTTCTCTTTTTTCCAATGATACGTCTACGTCTAAGTGGTTGGAAGGTTATCTTATCATCTGGCTGAGAAAGCTGAAAATTGGCCTGGACGGTCCCACGGTGTAAAATAATAACATACGAGGTCACGTGGCATATCTGACTGCATTGAGGAAACAGACTGGCAATATGTGGAGGAGAATTGAAGAGAGTTGCAACACTGTCATCAAAACACCTTGAAACAAGTGTCGTTATGAGACGATGATTACACATTTAATGACGCTTAACTTAATTTTCAGAAGTACTTTATTGTGATATAGCGCTACATTTTGATAGAAGGTGAGGATGCCCTTTCGTCAATGCTTGCCAAGATCAAGTGAAGCGTTTCCATCTTTTGGCATCCAGAAGAGAGACATGGAGCCGATTGGGCATGCCTTCCTCAGGGACGTTCATGTCGGATCAAGTGATTGCTAGTTTTGACGATGTTCTTCAAGGCCTTCTCGGGATTGTGTCCCTCGTGCGCCACGTTGAGTTTTCCTCTGTTGAAATTGTTCGTGTGAGTGGGAGAATTGGGGAACAGAAACCCGTTTTGTTTGGGATAGTTTCAGTTAGAGATACTCGCTTGAATTGGACAGGAGAATTGCACCTCCTGTGTTCTTCCTGTAGCCTACCAAAACCAGAAGAAAATTGTTAAGCCACTGCCCAATGGAAACTCATCGAGAGGAAAGAAAATTTACCTAATTTTCTCCCGATAATGCACAAATTTTATAACCTAACTTTTTAACGTTAGGCTAGCGTTAACCTGGCATTGGCATAACTTCCGTAAGTGAGTTGGTGAACTGACTAGTCGATCCTGATGAGAACTAATGTTTCTTTCGACAGATTTAGTTGACGTTATCGATAAGTGATACCAGTATTTCTGCATTATTTGCTCACTTCCACAATTACTGGCTGTTAAATTTCAACAAAGGTTTGGTATATGATACATGAGGAAGGAAAGCAAGAGTTGGAATATCCATCCTTGTGTATAACAGAGGGAGGATTGCTCATTTTTCTATGCTATTTCTCTGACAGAGAAATATGCTATGGGAATTTAGGAGTTTCTCAAAGATCTTTATTTGAACAGGTTTTTTAAAATACTTTATATGAGATTAATAAGCAGATTGTGGAGAGTGTATGAAATTCCAGATTGATCAAAAATGAAATTGGAAAAGCATCATCATACATTCCTGTACTTATAACATCCATTCATTCTATTCTCATTGCTTAAATTAGGTATCATCAAGTAATGACTGAGGGAGTGCAATTTCTCTATGGGGTACATGATTAACTGTTACCTGAAATGATATTATAATTAGTAAATACCAGTATGTCTTTGCATGCACACTAGTGCCTTTTATGAAGTCAGTAGATTTAGATGTCTCTTAGATTATCTATTTCTATGTAAGCAATATTGGATGCCCAAATGCAATGGAGGGATGTGCCCAATTTATAGTCTTGGTAGTGATAGGAATGGACTTATATTAATATAAGTACAAGATACTCTTGGTATACCATGCTAAGCATAGTCTGTATATAAGTAGACCCATGCCTGGTTCAAATTTTCCTTCTTTTGGGTTTTCTTAAAAATTTTAGATATTGGCCTGATGAACAGCCACCGTGAACCCCGTGATGATTTGGAAAGTAAACGTTCCATTGCAGACCTCATTAATAATGTTACTTCAGATACATTTGTGTCAGATGGGACCTACTCTCACTTTGGCTTCACACCACCATCAACCCCCAATTCTAGCTGTTGGGACTCCTACCCATCATCGCCAACTTTGTCTCTTCCAACTGGACCTGGGATTCCTCCATGTGCTGGACCTGTCCACTCACCTGCTGAAGTCTTCTCTCATCAGTTGCCAGAAGTGCTGCTGAACCCTGGTCTACCAGACTATGGCATCCGAGATGACTGGGGTCAAACTTTGAATGTTCGAATGCCTGGCATGGCACCAATTCATTACCGAGATCGAAGTTACACTGACCTAGATCATCCCATCTTGGGTGGAGCCAACTTTATGGATCCAAGTATTATACATGCTGGACCTTCTCTCAAAAGTACCCAATCTCCTGGGCGACTGCAGCCACATTCTGGGATGCCAGATACACAGTTCAGCTTCTACTCATCTGAAGCTGAAAAGTTCATGCAAGGCATGAAACAGAATCACAGTCCCTCCATTATGACTTCTCAGCCCCCATTTCAGCAGTGGGACCTTGAAGGAGGTATGTATGATCCCTTCAAGAGTGGCAATTTGAGTACAGTTGCTGCTCCACCAGGTGATGCTATGCTGAAGGAGAGACCACAGCCACCACCTCAAGCCACTCATAAGCCTCTGAGACCAACCTATTCAGATGTACTTGCCAAGGGCTCTTCTTCCCCAAGCCCCAAGGCCAGTTCTTCCATTTCCACATCATCAACGGGACAGCCGAAGAAGCCTGAACTCATAAGTAGTGGGTCAAAGTCACGTTCTGCAGGAAACAAGAAGGGCAAAGTGAAAGTGACTTCCAGTGGAACTCAGAGCAGCAGCTCATCATCTGGTAATCCAAGTATAGATGGTTCTCCAAAGGCAAGGGTACGTACAGGGGAAGGGGAAAAACTTGAAGTCAGGCGGAAACATATAATTGAAATGGATTCAGAAGTGTTCACTAATGGAGATCCTATGGATAGCAAGCCAGCAAGAAGTGCAGGTGGAAGTTCTTCAGTACTGGAAAAGGAGAACGTTTCTCAAGGTTTGTTTTCACTCTTTCTTAAGAATTGATGTTGCTTAGGTGGGCATGTGAAAAGAATAATTATTTTCTCGTGCGAATCTTCCCTACAGTGCTTGTCTGTGTTTATTTTGCTAACAGCAGGATCTGTGGGAAAAAACAAGAGTGAGGATGGAAGCTTGAACAATAGCAAGGTTACTTTCAATAATCAGGGGAAGAACATAGGGAGCCCCCAGAAAAAGCCTCTTAGCATCAACAACAACTTGGGTACAACAGCTCGCACTGAAGAGGATGAAAACCAGGAAGCCAAGCAGAGACCTGTTCCAGTGTCTCACTCTGAGAAGAAATCCGGTTTGGGTTAGTATTTATATTTAATTGTCATTATCTAAATGAGAATTATGGAGTTTCAGAATTTTGTGCTATTTTTATTTTAGGGATGGATGCTCCTCGAAGAGACTCACTTAACCTTTCTTCAAGGGGGAATTCTCGCAGCAGTCTCTTCATAGGGGAAAAGTCACCCTCACCTGTTTCTGTCACTGCCCGTAAAGGATCTGGAAAGAAGAAACGAGATCCACACTGTGCTTCCAAGTCAAGTTAGTGGTCTATCAGAAATTGGCATGACTTACTGAATTTGAAAAAATGTATAGTATTAAGATGCAAGTACTCTCCTATACAGTGGAGTTTTTATGCATGATGATGGCTCATCTCTGGAGCTGGAGTCTTGTCGTCCTTGCATTCCTCTCCTGGCTTGTCCATTTGGTCTACGATGTCATCTCCATGAGCTTCAAGCTTCTCATCCACTAGTCAGTTTTTCATTTTCTCCCAGTTCTAGATTATTTCTATTTTTATTCTAATACATGGTCTTTAAATGCCATTTTTATTTTATGATATTTGAGGTAGTAAATGGGTTGATGTGTTATACTAATGATTTTAAATAATGATTTTAAGTGTAATTTTTTTCATTCATTTTGTCATAAGTGTAATTCATTCAATAGATCTGGTTATCTAAGTTTAGTATAATGAAGGAAGATTGCTCTATGAACTGAAGTGTTTGAAAGTGTAGTTGTTGTGCAGTGAGAGTATCAGCATCACTTTCAACTACCTCCAACTTGAAAAACAATGGCATGCATTCATTCCAAGTTTGTTGGAAAAGGAACAATTTCAACAGCTCTAAAGCCATGTTGTACCCAATATATGAGAGCATCAGAGAATGTTATATGTACAAATGATGTAGGCTTTCATTCAAAATTTAAAGGTGATCTGTAGGGCAATGCAATGGAGAGTTTTTTTGGGGCATTCCAGACTCCAGGGATGCCTCATATGAACTTACTGATAGTTGATCAAAGTTTCATTTATACATGTTACATTGTCCTGTCGTCTCACAGGTCTTCTGCCTGACGGGTTGCAGGAATTGTTCCCATTTCAACACACTTGGAATGAATGCATGTTATTGGTTTTCGAGTTAGAGGTGGTTATAGAAGTATATGTTTGTATTGCTTATGAAAATTAATGCTCAGTGAGATTCAGATACTAGTGTATCATTGAAGTGATGGCAGTTTCTGGCTTCTTTTATGAAAGGAATGACATCACCAGATTTTACATTGAATGTTCAAGCATAACTTTTTTTTTTGCTTCAGCTTCTTTCTCAGGCCTCCTTTTCTGTTGAGTTGGCCAACTGATTTAGATCAATATCAGTCAACGAAGCCACACTGTTGATACTTTTGCTTGAAAGGAGATTGATGATCCTGGCAAGGATTGTAAACTTCTAATATATTGTATCTATCTGTATATATCTATATGTATTCTAATATATTGGATCTATTGGAAAATTCTGGACGTTTCGAGAATTTTCCAGAAATTTTTTTTCTGGAACTTTCTTGAACTTTCCACAGTAGCAGTATATTAAGGGTGTGTGGGCATGATTAGCAGTTGCTTAGTTGTTCAAAGCCTATAAGCATGACTTCCAAAATTGACTTAAACAAGACCGCCCAACATCAGTGCCTTCTTCACGACTTCCTATCCTGCATCACAGCAGCTGAATCAAAGTTGCCGCATCTGCACCGCATTTGGCCAAGGTGCAGTTTATGAAAGGACAGTGCGATGATGGTTTGATCATTTCCGGTCTGGAAATTACAGCCTCAAGGATGAGCCCAGGTCAGGCCGCCCATCTGAAATCGACAATGAGCAGTTGCAGCACACAGCGGAAGCCGATCCGAGGCTAAGTACTTGCGACTTAGCAACAGCACTCAGCTGTGCCCAGTCCACCATCGTGTCGCACCTGACTGCAATCGGCAAGAAGAGCAAATTGGGTCAGTGGGTACCCCACGATACGACCGACTGCGAATGCCGTGCCGAGGTGTTCACTTGGCTGCTGTTGTACGAGCGCATAAATGACTGGCTGGATTCCATAGTCACTGGAGATGAAAAGTGGATGCTGTATGTCAACTACCGACTCAGGCGCCAGGTCGATGCCGATGCCCAGCCAGAGCCAGAGCCGAAAGGTGACCTGCACCCCCGAAAAGTCATGTCGTGCATTTGGTGGGACATGCAAGGCGTGATTGACTTTGAGCTGCTCCCACCCGATACCAGCATCACCGCCGCCTACTACCACGATCAGCTGCAGAAGCTCGCCGACAGGCTCCGCACGGTGAGGCCAGGGCACCGTCGTGTTCTATTCCTGCACGACGACGCAAGGCCGCATGTTGCGAAGATCACACAGCAGAAACTGCTGGATCTGGGCTGGGAGGTTCTGCCTCACCCTCTGTATAGCCCAGATCTGGCGCCAACTGACTACCATCTTTTCTGCGCTCTGGACCACCATCTTCACCAGAAAAGGTTCAATGATGATGCCGAGGTCGAAAACTGGCTGACTGATTTTTTCAACTCACAGCCAGCTCAGTTCTACAGGGATGGAATCAGGAGTCTGCTTGATCGTTGGCAGAAGATGATTGACTGTGATGGTAATTACTTCATTGAATGAACACTTTGCTTTTTTTTAAAAAAAACTTGTTTGTATGGAATGTTCTCGAAACGGCCAGAACTTTCCGATCGACCCAATACTTTGGCCAACAAGAAAAAAGGTTCAACAAGCATGGCATTGGCATTGACATCATGCTAATGAGAAGGCAGAGTTTCGAGAAACTCTCTAATTTTTTGACTCAGTTATTAGGAGGGATCTTGCATTCCACAATGGCTTTCTCTCATTTTTATGCGCTCAGTTTTTTTTTTTAAGCAAGGCAATTATTCAAAAGCAATAAGAAGTAGAAAACTGATAGGGGATTCTAGTCCTTTTCAAGAAACTTAGAGAAAACTCTCAGTAATAATGTGCTTAAATTCATCTGTAATTATGTGAAGAAATAATATCTTATAATAAATATCTTATAATATTATATTAAATATAATATAAATAATAAGAAATAAAGTTTTGCCCCAGAACTGAGTCTGGATGATATTTCTAAGATATGTGGGATGCATATCCATATAGGCTTTTTTTTCAATCTTCAAGTTTGAATTGGAGTGGAGACATATTGATTTAGTTTTTTTTCTCATACCCTATGCATTTTGCATCAGGAGTTGTATATCTTTCTAAGTTTGGACTATTACCTTGTTCACAGCTGTCAGTAATTTTAAACCAAAATTCATTTAACCTAGTTATGGCATAACTTTATCATTAAGCTAGTACTTCATTTACCTTTTTCATCATGAAGGATTCATGCATGATGTGAAAATTATCATGGTGTTCATAGAACCACTCATTTTGCTCATGGCAAAATCTGGTTCTCCAAATCCTATCCCTCTAATGGAAAAAGAAGAAAAGACAAGATGATACATTTTTTAATCTTCACCCTGTTGTGATAGGACCTTCCTAGGAATAACATAAACAGACTCCTTCCTTGATATGGTTATAATATTTCATGACTATCATTCTGGAGAGCAAGCAATATCTTGGGAAAGGCTCCTCCCACTCAATGCACTCCTTTTTTTTTGTATCTGTAAACAAAATCAAATTATCAAATTTTTTTGCAGTCTTTTATCTGGCCAGTATAATCTGCCATTATTTTTTTAATATGGTAGACCTTAACATTAACAGCCCACTGAATAAACAAATAACTGAGGAAGAGAGAGTAGATAAGAGACTATTCTTGAATGTGTTATCTATGTGTATTGGTGTCATCCTTAACCTCAGTTCTCTGCCCCTCCTGAGTCTGGAGGAGAGCCAAGCTGTATCAAATGTCCACTGCTTATTTATGGTATTGACCTGGTGTATAACAGGTTTTCAGTGACTGATAAGGTAGTTAATGTGTGTTATTATATCCTCATGAAAAATGCAGTTCACCACTGTTCATTTTTCGTTTTTCTCCAGTGTTGAAATGATAGGAGAAGGAATATATGGACGGAGCAAAGCATTCGGCAAGTGGATATGGGTATGGATCCTGGATAAAGGAAAATGGGCATGGGAATGGTGGCAAGGTGATGATGCATCTGGTCATGGGGAATTGGAATTCAACATCCAACTTCCAAGTTCAGGAGAGGAAGCCATGAAGCGTCTCCTTGCTTGCAAGGGGAAGGATCCCTATAGGTAAGCTTTGAAAATCATCTCTGGAGTTGCTTAGAATGAGGATATAGGAGAATACACGAGAGATTTCATTTTGCAGCATACTAGGTGTGACGCCAACTTGCACTGATGAAGACATCCGGCGGTACTACAAGCGCCAGGCTGTCCTAGTTCATCCTGACAAGAATCGGCAGCCTGGTGCTGAGGAGGCTTTCAAAGTCCTTGCTCATGCATTTGAGCTCATCGGAGAACCAGTGAGGATTGCAATTTAAAATTTCTTTGTGTTTATTTTGGAAATGGGAGGACTCACAAGAAGCATTAAAATTCAAGGGTGAGACTGTAACAATTCACAATTCCAGATTGGGCTATGTCAAGGAAGTAGGTCTTTGTTTCTGATTTTCTGCAGGGTGTGCCACTTTAAGACTGTGGAACTGGCTTAAAACAAAATTGAAGGAATTCATATGTGCAATTTCAATTGAAGTTTGCATTCTGCAGAATTGTCTCCCACATGAGCTGATAGGTATGAGATAATAATAAGCCAAATTCTGATATATTTCTGTGTGTAACATATATCTACCAATTCTAGATTGTGACATTCATTTGAATCTTCTTATTCCTAATTGTTTTACAGTGGATATTTCTTGTACTCATTTTTTTAATTTTTGCATGTGCATTTCAAATTCAATCTGATTCTTTAATGTATTGAACAACCTAATGAGATTTTGTTCAGGATTAAGTTATGGGGTTTTGAGAAGGAAATGCAGCTTGAAATAATTAAATCTGCTTGACACTTCTCATAGGCAAGAAGGCAAGAATATGACAGCAAACGCATTGAGCAGAGTCAAATGTGGCAGGAATTCAACGACCTCTTGACAAAACTCCAACAGAAGATGGAAGAAGCTGCCAACACTATTAGGTTTGACATCTCTCTCATAGTTGATTAGAATTGTAACATTCCACGAAAGTTTTAGTTGATACCTTCATTAATGTATCTAGGTGCACAAACTGCAACAAGAGGCACAGACGGGTCAAAACAGAACGCAAGTCATATGCAGCCCGATACTGCAACAAATGCAGCATCCACCATGCAGCTCGAGAGGTAAGACTTGTCAATTGACATCAGTCGAACAGAGGAAGGTGATGCTGAGAGTTTTATTTTGACGTTCTGGTTGTAATATATTTTTACACAGGGAGATATTTGGGCAGAGAGTCGTGTCTTTGGATTTCTATGGCACTACTATGCGTGCATGGATGGTGCTGTATATGACATCACGGAATGGGCCGGCTGCCAATCGGAAAATCTTCGCCATCTCCAAGCCAATACTCACAATGTCCAATATCGCATTGTGTCTAGTCGCAGCAAAGGGAATTCAGGAGGGAGTGCCCGTGATCAGCAACAAAGGGATCCTTCATCTAACCAGCATGGGTACGATATTCTTTTCTCCTCCATCATTTTATGTCTTTGCATCTGTGAAGCTGTAGCAAACAATGCCCTGAGAAGTCCAGAACTGTCTTGCTTAAAATACTTCCGGAATCTACTTAACTGATCGCATCATGAGGAGTCAATAATTATGTGCATCTTTCTGTGACTATTTCCTTCATATCTACTTCAAATTTAACCCTGTATTTTCTCCCTTGCCTATGTTGTGGCCCTTTCTTGCTGTTTTGCTGTATCAAGGAGAATTATTTGAAGACTTATAAGGAAGTATTTATCAAAGAAATAAGAGTACCTTTTTTTATTCTTCATTTTTCATTTTTGTTTATTTTAGGAACATTTCCATTGCTTTTGTGAAGGAACAATATATGGAAATGAAATTTGAGCTATCTAGGAGAGATATTATCTCAGAATTCTCACCCTTCATAATGAGAGTTCTGCTCAGTGGCATAGGGATCTCAGGGGTTTAGGGGGTTAGAACACCCCCACACCCCTCTCCCCCCCCCTGGCTTCCCAGTCAGTGACTGACAGGCATATTTTAACCTTGGGAATTCCAATTTTATCTATGCCCCCTGTTTGCCAATTTTTCCTGCCTATGCCACTGGATCTGCTGCAGTAGTCACAGATGTTGCAGAAAGAACTGAGTAGTCTTGAATTTTGTTAATGTAATGGTAAATTTTTTTATCTCTTTAAAATGTTCATGTTGCTTGACACTGGTTGATTCTGTTTCATAGGCTGGGTTCAGACCTGGAAGATTTCTTGTCTCATTTGTATGGAGGAAATGCATCTCAAGGAACTGGTGTTCCTGGTACTGGCACGGGTGCTCCAAATGCGACAGGTGCTCATCGACCCTCATCCGGGACTGGAACTGGGACCTCTACCAAGAAGAAGGGACGGAAACGAAGATGAAGCCCTCATGCTTCCTAGGCTGTCTTTCATGTTTCTCTTTGCTCTCTTTCTCCAACTGATGACAGATTCACTCTCCTTCACCTTCTGTTCGACTGAAATTTTGCAATCTCATGTTTTCTGGGTTTCTGCAGAAGTCAGGGGTCATTTGCTTTGGTGTCTTGTGTTTCGAAAAGTAAGCCGGATGAGTTACTGTTTGTTTTTTTCCTCTTCATTTTTCTCTTTGAAGCTCTTTTTGTGTCATTCCGGGAACATCCCTTTGATCAGTTTTTCTCTCTTGAATTATTAATATCAAGCTCATCTTCTTTCTTCTTGAAATGAATGATATTGTGTGGAGGAAAGGGGTCCTTGGCTGTAAATAGGTTCAGGTGGAATGGAATTCTGTGATATTTTATTTTCCCTTCATCAGCCTCTGGTGTTCATCATTGACCACCATTTTGTCTATCTCCCCCCTCGGTGATGGATCCACTCCTCCGTTCTTGTCTCTCTAATTCTATACTTGGAATCAAAACTAGATTGTTGAGACCTAAATGGGCCACGTGCTTCCAGGTTGCAGTGGAAAAACGTGCCTTAGGCTATTGACACTCTTGTCGATCGGCACACGTTGTGCCAACTATGTCTCTTTGCCATGTGCATTTTTGTGTTTTTCCTTTTTGTTTTCCCCTATAAGGGAAGATGCCTAAGCCTGACTGAAATAAACTTGAAACTGGAATTGACAGCAACACTTTGTCATCAAGATTATTGCATGTTTAGTCTTGGTGGGGTTTGACTAAACTACTTGAATTTCATTTTTTTCATTCCATTTTTTATTCAGAGATATTAAAACCCCATTGCTCCCTTGAATGCTAAGTCAACATGTAACTCATAAAAATACATGTTTTTACCCAGAGGCCAGGATTGCTGAAGAGCATGTCTTGCTTCCCTCTTGGGAGAAGAATGGCCTTTCTTTTGAAACCTTATCTTCAGCCATCTCATTTTGTCCAAAATGGCAGCACCCTCTACTTTCCTGCTAATTTTTAAATTGGTAGGAAAGTAATCTGAAAGCAAAGCCACTTGAGTGGCCCAAACTTGATGTGTCTTTAGAGTTGTGGTTTTGCCATCATTGCAGAGCAATGTAATTGAGAAAAATACAAGCAAGATGGGAGTAGTCAAGCCACACAGTAGTCATGAGGATGAACTGGAACCTGTCTCCACTGCTGAAGATTGGTCATCGTGTTCCACTGTTGAAACCCGGGTTTCCCCTCCTATTGACCTTAGTGCCTTGCTTAAGGATCCCCAGAGGCATCCTGTCAAGATCTGTGCTCCTATGGTTCGTTACTCTAGGTGAGGATGGGAAGATTGTGTCTAATGGTTATCTTTAAAAAAAAAGTCATTCTTACATCTTGTGGGACTTTTGTATTAATAGACTTAATATGGCCCCTTCAACAATATATCATTCTGTAATATGGTAGCCATGCCTTGTTGGCATGTGGTAGCCTATTTGTCTTATTACAGTGGTGCAGCCAAGATTTTTTACATTGGTTTTTTGGCAGAACATAAGCCTGACAACTAGTGGGAGTGCAACTTGGTAACAGTAGAAGGTGTTAGAAGATAATCTCTTATACCTTTGTATCACTAATAAGTGTAGAAACCTCCTCCCCTTCCAGAATCTATTGCATAGGTTGTATAATATATAGGAAGAGGACGTGGAGTGAGCTAAGGGTGAGGGGTAGCATTGCAATGCATTGACCCTTAGTGATGAATTTTTCTGAGTTCAGGTAGGGTTATTGGTACAATATGCTGTAGTTTCCAAGTTAGGTACCTCATTGGCAACTTTGAGAAAAGTAAGAGTCTAGGTCAGCATGACTATGTTCTATCTAAGGCCAAGACATTTTCCTGGGGGTGAAAGTTCATTTCTCTAGAATTCTCAGGGTGATAACTAACCCTAATGTTGGATTTGCTACCAACCAAACAATATTACCCTTTTTTAGATCCAGGTACCATGTATGCATGCCAAATCCTATTACCATACTTTCAAATATTTTAGTTAGAGGAGGATCAGGTTTGCTGTTTATAAGGTGTACAGTCAGGAATCATTGAATAATATAACATGATGATCATATTGAGCAATGCATCCACTTAAGTTCTTTCTTTTTTTGTAGATTGATATCTTGAAATGCTTGAAAACCAATTATCAACTGATGAATCAGAGCATTTGTTCCAAATTCCACCAGATAGCAGGAGTGTTGTCGCTGTGGAGGGATTGGAATCTCTGATCTGTTCTCAGTATCCAATATGTTTGCAGCCTTCTGCTGAGTTAATTTTATGGAAATTTGGGGATTTCAGGAAGTCTTAGGTCTTATTTTATGCCATATTCCATATATATGTTTCAGCAATGTGCAAATTCCATAAAGTCTACCAAGTCTGCTTCCTTTGCTGAGGTACATTTGAAATTGGGTAGTAGCCAGGTAGAAATTTTGCTCAGATTTATGCTCACTGTTTATAATATCTTGGAAGAGTTGTAATGCAGTCAGGAATTGTTGTAATGCAGGAGACCGTTTCGTGAACTGGTTCGTCAATATGGATGTGACCTTGCCTATACACCCATGATAATGGCTGAAGCTGTGATCAAATCAGAGAAAGGGCGGCACCATGAGCTGCTCAGTGACCTTGGTCTGATAATTTTTTTTTTTTTACCCCCTCACCTCACCTGTCTGTAATATCATATAGTATAAAGTTTCCTATTTTTGACAGGTGATCGGCCATTGGTGGTGCAGTTTGCAGCACGTCACTCTGAGGAACTTGCTGAGGCTGCTGTCATTGCCTACTGGTATGTTATGGGTTCAGTGATCCATAATTATATACCCATTCTGTAAAATATTCTTTATTTTCCCAATTACAAATATCCAATATTTTTTTTGTCCTCCCTGTAAATATTCCTGGTTAATTTTTGCAGCCATGGAGTGGATGGAGTTGATCTTAACTGTGGATGTCCTCAGTCATGGGCAATTAGAGAAGGGTATGGTGCTGCGCTTCTGATGGAACCTGAACTAGTGCGGGACATGGTTCACCTCACCCGAAACCGCCTCCCTGGCTCCTTCTCCACTTCCATCAAGATCCGCATTCTGTCAGACATCCAGTATGGATTTTTCTCTCTCCCCTTCTTTACATCTAATTTTCATTAAATACTTTGAGTTTGACACCTATAATGTACATGAACAATCCATTTTCATGTAGTTGAGATTTGAGAGAAATTTTTTTTTAATCCTTCAACTATTAAAAGCTGCAGGCAGCAAGTTTAATACCCCTGCCATCCAGTTTATTTCAGATACCTGGAAGTGTAGGCATTATGGCTAGAAAGGTTTAGAATTGCTTGAGGCATTGTACATTTCTTTTCAAACTTGTTGTTTGCAGATAATTTTAAATGCTTTAACCACCTCCAACATGCTCTGAAGAGTTGCAAATGCCTGATGGGTACATTTTTGCAGTGCCAAATATGCCTGTGAAATGCATGACAAAAACCTTGAGAATTCCCTAATTGCAAAATTACCTGGCATGAAGTCTCACTAATTTGGAGGGCACTCAAGCAATCCAGCAATTTGTTGAGGTTTTCATGTTGTCAGTGGTGGATAATTATGTCTTAAGTATGATGGTTGTCTCTGTTCAGAATTCTGATAGAGACATTCATGCACATTCATAAATATTTGTTCATTGATAATTTTACATCTTTATTATCACCCCTTTTCATCATTCATTCATTCTATTTCATTAACTTACTGAATATATTCAGTCTCTTCCTTGATGCAAGTTTCCACCTTGAAGGACTTCTACTCTGGCCTACAGGCAACACCTAGTAATTTGAGAGGATGAAAATCCTCAATTAATTTTTGAGAATGACAGTAAAGATAGGAAAAGGTTGAAATGGAAAAGACTTGCTGCAAGTGCCTGGACTTTATGCTTATGTAGACTATGAAATGTGTATGTACTCTCAATTCCTTCTATATCTTTGACCAAGGGGTGCTTTGAACATTTTCCCACTTCTGTCATTTTCTTTAGTCTCAAAGTAAAATTGTTATGGGTTAATTTTATTGTTGATTTGACATCAGATGAACCCACCTATGCTTATGTGAGATTGTCAAATTGGTTTTTGAAGAGAAAGTAATGATGTAGTGAAACATATTGCAATGATTCATGAGGATTATGTTATAATGTGTCCAGATGCTGTAACTAGAGAGTGTTCTGTAAGTCCCAGGTCACTTACCCAGTTATTGACCTAGTAGGTATCCAATAATCATGACCTGGGACTTATAGAACACCCTGTAGATTATGCTTTCCTGGACTTGAACATCAGTTTTCATCATATGGCAAAGAATGGCATAACAAAAAGAGGACTTTTTATTTTCAGAAAGTCAAAGTTAATGGAGTCTGTTGGATTTCATTTTAACTTTTGAAGTTTAGGATGGTGTGATTATGGGTCATGTATCCTAAACTGGACAGGAGATTTTCATGTGTTCTTGCTAATGACCCCAGGGGGGGTAAAAGAGAATTTCCCTTTGAGTATATATTTGGTCATGCTTTTACCACAGGAGTTTTCCATCTTATGAATAGAATCTTCCTTCACATGGCCAACTGTTATAAGACATTGCATGGGTATGTTCTTCAATATGGAGAGAAAAATGAGTGATCACCTAGGGTCGAGACCCCACTTATGACCACTTTGTGTTGTTTCAACATTTAGAGCTTAAAAATCAACATATGTGGACTAAAAGAAGGAAAAAAAGAAAAGGACAAAGGCTGCAATGAATCAGATTGTCCTGCTAATATTGAGGGGAAAGGTAATTAAAGTTTCTGCTATAAGTGATGGGAAAATGGGGGTTGTAATCAGACTTATCTATTAATTTTCCCTAAAGAGAAACTACTTCAAGATGCGAATTTAATATGGTAAGAAGCGAAGTATACCAAGATGTGAACCAGGATGCACATTTTGAATTTAATTGTTTCAGAGGCAGGAGGGGGGTGGCCATAATTGGATGCTTGATCCTACTGCAGCAGTGTTATTTTCTTAAAATCTCTTCAGCCTGTTCAACTTACTTTCTCAAGATTACCAGGGAAGAAATATGTTTCTTTCTCTAACAAGGAAATCAGTTGAGTTCTGTCGTGAGATGGAGGCAGCAGGTGTTTCATTCATTACTGTTCATGGACGAACAGCTAGAGAACGTTCAGAGCCTGTTCAGCTAGATGCCATTAGAACCATCAGGGATGCACTGAACATTCCTGTGATTGCCAATGGTGACATGACCTGCATGGATGATGTATTTGAAGTTGTTGAAGCCACTGGTGTTCACGGTGAGGAGAATGAATGATTTATAGGACCTAATTTATTTTTATTTCCACTAGAGTAAACATATGTAATTTTTCTCTAAGTCTTAGCCATGAGATGAATGCCTTTTGGGAAAAAAAAGGTCCTTGTTGTTGAGCTTATTCATCAATTTAGATTTCCAATGTAGATCATCCCATTCCATTAAAAAAATAATTGGCTACTACTGAATCTATTCTCCTTGAATAATTCATATCAATAGCCTGTAATATAAACAAAGGCCCTTAATTTTTTGTCTATGTGCAGTGTCATTTTGTTCTCTTTCTTCATCCCCAACTTTGAATTTGTGCAGGAGTGATGGCAGCCAGGGGACTAATGAGGAATCCAGGGTTATATGCTGGTCATGCAGTTACCCCTTTGGCATGTATCAAGGATTGGACAGATGGATACATGCAGAAGAATAATCTCCCATTTTCTGTCTTCCATCATCAACTGGCATGCATGTGTGAAAAGTTGCTTTCCAAAGCCCAGAGGAAGGCCCTCAACACCCTTAATGATATCCAGGGTGTCACCAGTTTCCTCATTGATCAGTTTGGCATGGAATTCCCCCAAAGCACAGAGGAAGGGATTTGAGCCTCATGCACAGTTCTGTCCCCCTTTTCTCCCTTCTCATGAGGCACTTTATTGCCTAAGGTGAGATGAGACTGTTCTTTTCTGGGGGTGAATAGGTCAAAATGTAGCAGTAACTTTTCATTCTTCACTATGATCTTTAACTTAAATATGTCTGGAGGCATGTAAAATAAAATAAAAAAATAGATATACTAATCAAAATAGAATTTCCCACATGTTTTAAGCAGGAAATATGAATGAATTTGTTGACACTCTTGAGAAAAGTATGTAATGGTGTATGAATTAATCAGAAGCCTGTGGAAGCAGTTTCCAAGGGTAACTGTTTAGGTTTTTAACTCAAGGATTACTTGCACTTAGGTACTGAAAATTTTTATTCTTTTTCAAATCATTCAGCATTTGGAGAGAGATTTTACATCCATAAGGCTTTAAATGAAAACGTGTCCATCAGTATATGCTAATCCTCCAGATTGTATTCAAAGTTTTCCTGCCTTTCTCATTCATGTACACTAAAGAGAAAATATTCACATGCTTACCTAATTTATATTTTGATTTTTTTTTTCAGGGTATGGGGTAACCCTCTAGAAAATGTGCCATGCACTGCTCCTGGTATTCCTGGAAAGGAATCTAATGTGAGCTTGTAGTAGAACAACTCCTTTTCTAGCATAAATCCCATTTCAAAACATTCAGACAATTGCATTTACCTGCAGTTGTTGTATCATTGATAAGGATTTTTTACTATTTATGGGATAGAAAACAAATAATGTTTCATATTTTATCCTGTGGTATAGAGCAGAGATTTTTATCCCCCTTCCCATATTATTTTCAAATAGTAGCAGAGTGGCAGATGAAAATCTGGGGGTATCTCAACTATGATACTTAATTCATAGTTAAAATGGCTATGACTTGGTTATTCAGGTCTTGTGTTGATTGCTCTTTTTTTACCAAACATATCTTGTCACCAAATATCCAAAAAAGGAATGGGGAAAAAAAAAAGAGAAATACAGATCTAAGAGAAAGAGTGCCTCTGTACTTGACTATATTCCTATCTAACATAAATTAAATTATCAATGATCCAGGTAGTGGATTTGAAATTAGTGTTGTATTATTTACCCCAATCATGTAATGTGCTTTATTGAAAACTAGTGTTGTTTCTGCAGAACTTTAGATTCCACCATTAATTTTCTAACTTAACCAGTTTACATCATATGTGTCTTGACAGATGCAGGACATGAGGCCATTTGCAATGGCTTTGTTGGGGCAGAGCATAATGTTTCCAAATCGGTGTGAGAATGGAGGGTTCCACTGAGAGTTATTTATCCTCGTCCTTGGAGGTATTTTCTCACACCCTTCCAAGAATTATCAGTGGACAATCCCGGACTGCATGTCGTCACCCACCTTCAGGCTCTCATTGAATCCTTTGAGGGCAAGACAAAAAATATCATGCATTATTTATGAGGGAAATGAGCAATTTCTTTTCCCCTTTTCTTATTCTTGATTCAATTTTTATTTTAAAATGAATTTCACAAAAACATTGGAGTTGCCTTTTTATTTGTAAAATGATACTTCATTGGCAAGTATAGAGGATAAGATAAGAGGAAATTACTATGACTGTTTTACTGATAATTATATTACTTTTACCACTTCAAGCATTCATTGATGATGACAGAAAGTTCCATTATCTAATTCTTGCAATACCTTGCTCACTCCTCGTTTCAAAATACTTCTCAAAACATGAACATGGGCAATAAAAACTGCTAACCTGTACTCTCAATTATCCCACAATCAAGCAGGTCTTTGCCAAAACTTCCATTCCAATTTAACTTCACTCAATCCCCCCCTAGATGAGGAGAGTGGAACCTTCAACCACATTTTCACTTTTATAAACAAGAATATGTACTCTGAGTTCATTTATATCTGTCTCAACTTTCTTCCTCAGAAGTTGAGATGATAGAAAAGGTTCATTCCATCACTGCTCCAAGCCATTTGCCCATGAGAACAATTATACTGCCTAATAAGCAGCAGTAGATGAAAGAGTTGAAATACACTTGGAAGTAGAAATCTTTAGATGTTCTGTCCAAAGTCTTTCAATACAAAACAAAAAATTCACATGGGCTCAGTTGTTTCTGCTCCCTGCTCCTGATCCCAAGAATTACATGCAAAAACGTGAGGCATATACTATCCCAGTCCCTGAATCCACATGTAATGAAGTGAGTTTGCTACACTTGCCTCAATTTTTTTTAAATATTAAATGACGATGTGGTCATCTTCCCCCACTAACTTGACCTGAAAACTAAATTGTAATTTATTTCTTAAATTTCGAACCCACACAGCCCTTTCGAAGTCAGTGAAATTTTACAGAATTCCGTACTTCTACCGACTGCTCTGTCTCGATGCAGTGGAAGGCCATTCCAAGAACTGGCTGTTTTTTTGTGCCGCTCTTAAGTCGCCTTGAATTCACGTGGGACAGAGGAAAGGCTATTTGCATTTATGTAAACATTTGTACCTGACGATTACATTTTCCTCACGTGTAAAATGGTTGACAGTACTGTATGTCGAACAAATTCAAGTTGCCTATAGATCTCAGGGAAACTAAATATAAAAATCCCCCCATACTCGCCCTTATTTGAAGACATCCCATCTGAGATCCCATCTAAGGCAAGAACCAACAAAGAGTCCCTTGCCGAGGACAGATCAGAGACGAAGGAGAAACTCACAAGGGCATCTCTTTTGCATTCGGAATAAAGGCATTGTGTCCTTCGTTCACTCCGTTCCTTCCCTCTGATCAGCACCTGTGGATCTGCATCACAAAAAGAAATAAAGTCTCTCTCTCGTCTGTAGGTAAATGTATAAATAAAGTAAAATGTTTCAAATAGCAATGCTCACGAATAACATGAAGCGAACGAGTCCATGGAAGGCAACGAGAAGATCCAGGCCCCAATCGCGAACACAGCAGCGTTTATGCGTTCAGAACGTGTTATATGAATGTTTCGGTTTTGTGTGCTCTACCATGGCATATAACGAATGGGGGCAAAACGCTAAAATGTCACTTCTATTAGTGGTCGAAGCTACGTTTTAACTCGTTTTTTTTTACATCTGCATTACAACGTTAGCTGCTGCAGCATTTAACGTGAATGATGTCGTGAAAAAGGCAGTGCGGGCGAATCATCTAGCAGTAAAGCAAACAAGATTCCAAAAAAGCTATCACCATGTAGCAATGATACCAGATAAGTTTCCAATAACAGAAGTCAGAATTAAAACAATTTTCTAAATTCAACCCAGAGAGACACTACAATCCTGACCGGGAGAATTCGCTGTTAAACTAGTGACCTTGCTTTCTGCAGGTGAGAAGAAATGCAGGCGCATTTCGCAATGTCTCTGATTACGAAGATGTCTTTAACAACAGGCTCGACTGTATAATGAGTGATGTCAATAAATCAGAACACATGGGAAAACCACTAATGGTTCCTTACCAAAGAAATGAAATCCTCACAAGTCACTCGAGAAAAAGTGCTATACATGTTAAAGTACTTCCAACCATACCGAGAACGTTCCTCTCACGCCTCAACACGTCACATCACCTCGACTCCATCAGCGCCGATGGAGCGTTCGCACGCCCGTCGGGAAAAATCCGTGAAGCCACAAGAGGACTGGGTCGTAGCGCCTGAATTCGGCCAGGGCCAGAGGGCTCCACGCTGCGATCCATCCGTTTCTATGGTAGCCGATGTTGGACTTGTCTGAAAGGAAGATCGGTCGATGCCGGTCACAGGAATAAAATTGTTCATATGGAACCGATTTAAACATATTTGCAAACTACGAAAATTATTTACAAAATTTCACAAATACCGTTGAGAAATTTGGGGAAATCCCAAGGATTTCATTCCATATTCCGTTTCTTCCCTTCGTCAACGATTCATTTCCAAGTGGATTTATGAGAAAATCTAAGCCATGCATTCTCACCATCTTTGACGTATCCAGCGGCAACGAAGAGCACATATTTCTGTTTGTTCAGATCGAACGTGACGCCATTCTGCTCGTGAATAGGATCCACCTCGAAGGAACAATACATGACTCCGTCGACATACGCTCCGTTCACATTGTAGACTCCAGACTGAACGTCGGCTCGTCTGTTCGTCTTCCTTGGGGTATTGAAATTCCAGGAACGGAAGGCCTTGATTCGACCATCCACCTCCATGCATTCCACGACGGCATCGTCTCCCTGAATGCAAAACTCGACCAGTCAGCTAGACGCCCTGGACGATGCAAACTTATCGACGGAGAATCTAACCATCTCTTTGTCCTGGGAGAGACCCAAAGCGACATATCCATCGGTCTCCGCCTGAATTTCAAACTGGTATCTCTCTCCCTTCTTCCTCCACGCGACGATGTGATTACAATCCCCATTCACGACACACTCTCCAGACATCCCAAAGCACTCCTTGTTGGAGTTGCAGCCGTCGTAGATGGTATCCACGCCGAAGTCCTGCTGAGTCTGCTCGGTCGTTCCGGCCAGGGCCACTGGGCCCTCTGCCGCTATCCATCCGTTTCTATGGTACCCGACGTTGGACTTATCTGAAAGCAGGCGTCAATGGGTCAACACCAAACGAGGAGAACAAATTTGCCGAGCATATTTTTGGAATTTCAGCGGACAAGCTTCGGATATTGCATTAAAAATGTTTTTTCTTATTTACTCCATGAATGCCATGGAGATAATAGCAAAAATACCATTGAGAAATGCCATTTCTCTTTCCAGAAGTACGTACTTCTGAATAGAGGGATACGACTCCATTTTGGCGACAAATTGGAAGCTGAACCATATTATAAACTCCATTGCGTCACTTCAGCATATTAGCAAAAGTTCATATCCAAATCGATCTATGAGATATTGTCTAATGCATGCATCCTCACCATCTTTGACGTATCCAGCTGCAACAAAGAGCACATACTTCTGCTTGTTCAGATCAAACTTGACTCCATTCTGCTCGAAAACAGGATCCAGCTCGTAGGAACAATACATGACTCCATCGATGTATGCTCCATTCACGTTGTAGACTCCGGAATGATCACTAGCTCGTCTGTTTGACTTCTTTGGGATATTTAAATTCCAGGAACGGTAGGCCTTGATACGACCATCCTCCTCCACGCACTCAACAACAGCATCTTCTCCCTGAGCCAAAAAGGGTACTTTTCAGCCAGATGAACCTTTAAACGAGGACTTCGCAGACGAGAGAATCAACGACGAACCATCGCAGTGTCCGCGGAAAGACCCATGGCGACATATCCTTCAGTCTTGGCCTGAACTTCAAACAGGATCCTCTCTCCCTTCCTCCTCCACGTGACCGTGTGATTGCAATTCCCATCCTTGATGCACTCCAGAGACGATCCAAAGCATCCCTTGCTGGAGTAACAGCCATCGTAGATGGAACCCTCGCCGACGCCCTCGTTCCTTCCTCCCCCCTGACCCCGAGACACCTGACTCGACCCGGCCTCGGACTGCAAGAATGTCAAGTCCCCACTCTCAAATGCCACATAATCGCCTTTTTGTTGAATGGCTATGCTGTGGCTTCCTACTCTCTACGAGGATTCCATTACTGGCTTCACAACCTACAGCTGCACGAAATGTAGAATACATTGCAAGTACAGGAAAAGGAGGAGAAGTTCCTACCACTCGCGGTACGGAGCCTAGGAAAGTAGCCACAGGCGAAGCAGCAGGAATAGCGCTGTCCGCGTTTCTCGTCCGTTCTCCCGCGATCGGCTTCCCGGGGACGTCTGCCCCAGGCACCGACCTCTCCACCCTCACTGGGGGGGACTCCACGCCCACCCAGAACGTGTGGAACTTCTTAACGAATGCCGCCCTGGACACGATAGAATTACAGTGCATGAAGACAGGAAAAGTCATGATCCAATTCAAAGAAGTTTGAAAAAAAAAGGCATAGGGAAAGGATTGAAGTAGCGGATCATTGAGATTTAGAAAAATTAAAATCTACAGCTTGAACATAAAAGCAAACCCTTCCGAGGATATATTCTGATGCAATCAATAACATTTACCATTCTTCATCATGCTCATCCCAAAAAGGATTGACGGACTTTAAATAGATTTTGGCGGAGATACGGAGCATGCAAATCGAGCGATAGACCGATAGTTAGACCTATTCAGGTGGCAAGAAAATGACATGAATCCGAGTTTCGATAAAGCCACGAACGCGAAGAAAAAGAAAACGAACTAATTGGCAAGAGATCCTTCAAACTCCGCGTGCGTGTCCATGATGCAATCCCTCAAGGAATGGCACGGGAATTCTGCTAATACCCCCGCCACATCTTTGCCTTTCTTCAAAGGCATGCGATGCAATTACATGGGCTGATGGAGCTTCGAGAGCTTTTTTTTCATATTTGTCCCGTCGTGTATCTGGATCCTCGAAAGGAAGTCGAAAGAGCCCCCCATCAAGTGCCCTAACAAATTTTGGGAAGGGTTCATCTGTCGCGAGTGATTCTTGGATTAACCCTTTCCAAGAGAGGGGAGGGGGGGAATTACGGATGTTCCGCATTACCGTGGTAAAAAAGAAAAAAAAATGGGGGGGGGGAACCTCTTCTTAAGGGTGACTGGGATACTAGGAGCCTGCCTTCATTGAAATTCGACCATGTTTCGATTGCATTTTAAAACTGAAGTTTTTCCAGAAAAAAAAAACACACCACTAGAGAACAGAAGCTTGCAGAAGAAATAACATTTTTCCGGCTCCGAAATTGTTTAGCTAATGACGCATTAAATTCTTGCTCCCTTCGATTTAATCAGCAAAGCGAGGCTCCTTCCACAGGAGAAGCAAATGACGCCACCTCGACATCTTGGCGCAAACAACATTTTGACGAACAAAACCGGCGAGAGAACAAAAAGGGAAAGAAACCAGAAAAGTGGGGAAACGAAAGGACTGACTTGAATCGGACCTCGCCCGAGGTGCCCGACGCGGGCTCCCAATCCACCATGATCTCCTTCTTGTGGTGAGCCGACTTGTGCGTCACCGCATTCTGCCACACATCAAGCAATCCTTCATTCTTCAAATTCTTTCTTCGCGGAATCTCACGCTTTCATGCCTTCGTCAAAATCCAACAAAACTCCAAGCCAAGATGCTTTTTTGTCCCCCCCCCCCAATCTTAGTCGAATCCCTGATACCTCTATGTATCAAACCTTACAGTAAAGTACAAGGAATAAAAGTGCTCACACCGGAAATGAGGCAATCGGGGTGAAGGCATGGATCCCCTAACCGGGACACGAGAAAAAAAAAAGTGATAACGTTTCACTCACGTGATCCCCCGGTTCACAGGTGAGGTACTTGTGAAACTGCGTGAAGAACGTCCCCGAGATGGAATCGTCCGAGGCATTCCTCGCCTGAACGAGAAATCCGTCGAATTCCGTTCCGTCCACTCCCGACAGCCGCACCGACAGCCTCTCGCCTGATTTCACCTTTAACAAAAAAAAAATTCGGTCGATCTCGACTTCCACAATCAAAAAAGTTGTAACCAGGGATGATAAATAAATTAGACTTGTCGAATATTTCAGAGTTATCAGCGTTTCAACGGCTACCCAATATTCGTAACCCTTACAATAAATAATTGCGTTTAATTTTTACAATAATACAGTTTTTATTCATAGTTCGATCAACATTGCTCCAAGCTCCAAGGCTTTATGTAGAAGGGAAAGCCAGTTTTGAAGAAACGAAATACTTAAGGTAATAATTATATATTTAAAAAATATGGGTTCAACTTAATTGGCATCAAATCCAAGATTCACAATCGAATGGTGAGAATCGTACAATTACCAATCTCCTACTGTAGCTATCAATCCAGACTAGAGGTGACTAGAGGTGGTTTTTGCAGAGGTTAACCATCTTTAACTTCCAAGCAGAAGCCATATTTTATTCCAACTGATTAAACTGAATGTCCTCCAGCGAAAACCCGATTTTATTGCTGGTACAACTGCAAAATTCGATCAATTTCTTCCGCTTCTGTAAATTTTAAAAATTTTCGTTTGAGTACTTCATCCTGTAACAAACTAATTGAGCATATGAATGAAGCTTTGCCGAACTTCAATGAAGATTAAAGAGAGGTGACATTTTTTAATAGACCGAAAAGACATACTTTTTGTTCTGATAGAAGCTCGCACTAAATCGTCCACGGGCATCCATCCCTTCTTCATTTTTTTAACCCTAATCCGGGCAAGGTGAGTCCGCTGGACTCACGACATATTTCGGTCTATTACTGTCATTTTTTTTTAAACTATCAGGACCATTGAATAAATTGTCTGTATTATTTTAGTTACAGAACTGTTATTTATAAGAAAAACGCGAACTCACCCCCCCCCCCCCCCCCCCCCCCTCATGAAAGTGTACTCAGACACGCCCTCACCGTATCAGACGAAACCATGACCCGATAGGGAGCAGTCGAGAGATCCATGGGATCCCGACCGTGCCTCGGCGTGAGATTGTCGCACGCCGCCTCCGGCGCCCCCCTCGCATACCCCAGTGCCCCCTCCAGCAGACACACTCCAAGGAAACTCAGCGAGAGCCAAATCATCTTCCTTCTTCACACCTGCAAAAGAGCAGTCAATCGAACGTGGTTAAAACGTTCCCAACTAGAGACTTTTCTCCGAGGATTTTGTAGTGATCCCACTCTCCCACCTCCGTGAGATTCATGGAACCCATTTTTTTTTACTGATGGCGGTACCGAACCCTCCCTCATTTCGCTTAAGAAAATGAATTCACTTCGAGTCTACCAGGAAATACCTACAGGTTGACCAGTTCGAAACTTTTTCCTTCCTAACATGGGTTAGTGCGTCCACTGACAAAGGAGCCTAACCCCCCCTCTAGGATTTTCGTTGAAGAAATATACTCTTACTACAAGGCTAACAGAAACTGTACACAGATTTAACAAGGTCAAGAATTATATTCAGTCTTAAAATACCAACGAACAGATATCTGGTCCGGAGGATCGAAGCAAAGCACGTTTCACTCGAACTGGGAACGTGGCACTGAAGCTTCACTAAACGGCACGAAACTTTCCCTCAGAGAAAACGCGAGACGCTCCCCGTGGCAGCGCTGCTAGTCATTTTACGCGACGAGCAAAGTAGCACATTTTTAGCTGCAGGACCTTGTTCATCGAATCTCTGTGGCAACATCACGGCACGATAGGTGTTCTCTTCATCATGCATTAAAGAAATGGAATTTGTACAAATATTCCGATATTAATCGCCGACATGGGATGCAGAATTCCGCTCCAAGATTCGCATCCGATATTAACAGCCTTGGATCCGAATATGAAGATTTAAGGATTCGAGTCACTCGTGATCGAATCACTCGTGATTGAGGATGCGGGTCAGGATTCGTCCATCACTGCTCACTTCACTCTGAAGCTTCACAGAGAAACTGAATTAGTACGGCAACCTTTTATGGAAATCGCCAAAGGAAACCGTAGCATCACGGTACCGATAATCGACTATTCAATGCGTCCAGCCGGGTTTTTAGGCAGATAGCGCGCTTCCGGGGCTTTATTGCAAAGGGTGACAGGGAGAAAACGACACGATCGTCGACGAATGAATGGAAAACGGGACCGGAAACCCATCTAACTACTGCCACGCACTTCCGGTGTTTATAGCTCGATGACGGACAAAAAGGACATGTCCCTTCTGTAAGCATTCATGACTAGAGAGATCCAAAGCGATGTGCGACGCACAATAAAATGAACCATTACTGAAACGAATTTCCTCATTCTGAGACAAAACGAGAACCCAGAGAACAGTGTCTGCTGGAACGAGTAGGGAAATATGGGGGTGAAATGAGGTGGGAGAGAGAGGGAGAGGGAGGAAGAGAGAAAGGATGAAGAAGCAGCATCACGCCATTCACGCATTCTACTCGGGATCAAGACCAGAAGCGCCTCTACCTCGAAAAGATCCTGTCTTCTACAAGGACAGGGGAGCGGAAGATGTAATTTGGTTAATAATCCTACGGTTATGACAAGATATTGATGCTTAAATTCCAGACATGCGATTGATGAGTTTTATTCCAACGATCACGAGTATCCATTTAAGTTCTACTTTTACAGGGTGGCCCAAAAGAAGTGAAGCAATTTGATGTATATATATTACTGAATCCATATACGACAGAGAAAAGTACAAATGGGCGATGCTCCTCCAAGAATCAAACATGAAAAATAACATCTTCCAGACAGCCTCGCTCTGAAAATGCCATCGCATTATTTTCCGCCGCACATCACCAAGGAACATCACCGACACGAGATAAACCTGCCTGGGAACGAGTTTCGCAATAGTGGAGACAAACAGACCCCCAAGATCTCCCGACCATTCGACCCCTGACCTTTTTGGGGGGATATTTAAGGGATCGTGTTCATACTAACAAACCACGAACACTTCAAGCACCGACAGACAACATACGCACAGTAATCGGTGATTTTCCTGGTGATGTGCTGCGAAAATTAATGCGATGGCATTTTCAGAGCAAGAGACTAACAAAGATGTTATTTTTGATGTCTAAATCTTGGAGCACAAATTAAAATGTCCATTTTTACTTTTCTCTATCGTCAATATCTTCATAAATACTTACCTATCAAATTGCTTCACCTCTTTTGAGCCACCATGCACATGCACGTCCATTCGGACACGTGAAGGTGCAGAATTCCTGTTCAAGGCTTGAGGTCCGGCAAAATAAGACACCAGGTGGAACCTCGGAATCGCATAATTTTTTTTAATGCTACATCGAAGGAAAAGGGACTTGAACGAAGTCCATAGACTGATTGGCTTTTGTCGAAGAAGCCAAGTTTGCATCTTCTATGGATTTCCAGAACGGCCACCGCCTCTCGATACTGGCAAGTTTCGGCTCTCGGCCTCTGGCGATAGCTCGTTCACAGAGCAAAGACACGCTTCTTTTCTAACGAATGAGCATCATGGGAGAGAAATGTAAAAAAAAAGCATGCTTTTCCGAGAGCAAATCACGTTTTAAAGTCTGTTCTAGCCTGGCATCAGCCTCGGCAAGTTCACATCTCTGCCCCTACATCCATCTTGCTCGCCTTCGGCCTTTGCAAAAGTATGCATTTCTCTTGGCTCCTGCTTTTTTCATCCCTAGCTTCAACTTCTGCAGTTATATATTGCTTCTCAGGGCATCATTTCCACTGTCGTCAGCCATTTTCACACATTTCCACATCTTTTTCTCGCATTTTTGGCATATTCCCCTCGTCTCACCTTATACCCAAAACCGTCTGAACTACTGCAGCCAAAACCTGTACGATGGTTGTGCTCAACTGGATGAAATTTCCCCGAACTCTACCTTCTCCGACTTTCTATTTAAGATGGGCTTTGTTTCATGGGTCACACTCCACACCCAGTATGCAATATGCAGGAAAACGTGAGCCACCTCAGCAAGGCGAGACGAAATCTCAGCAAAATAGAAGCGCTTAGAAAAAAAATGCCCCAACGCTGAGATACAAAGCCAGCCATCCTTTGTTCCGAATCTCGCTGCCCGCGCATTCCCTTATCGCCAAAAGCAGATTCCCAGCAACCTTGAGCATCACAAGGCCAGCTTGTATTGTCTCCAGGAGGGCCAGGACGGGTTCGATTGTTTGATTTACAGAGTTGGCTACCGCAAGGAATAATTTTCTTCTGACATCTTCCTCAGCTGGAACAGCACAACTTCATTCGGGCCAGAATGAACATTTTGGCCCCATACATGACTAGAGGCACCTACAGTCAACTTTTTTTGTTGCAAAGCATTCACTATCCTGCCCTTTCACCTGTTCTTAATATTATTCATGTATATTTTGAACCGCGGATGGTAAAAGTGACCCTCACTGGTACCAGGAAAAAAAAAAAAATCGCCGATAGCATCCCACTTGGATGGAATTGGGTGATTTTGGTGAGGGCTATTCACCGGAGCCGATCACATTTGGTTGCTACATTTCAAAATTGCAGCGGCCACATTAAAAAGTTGCAGTTCTCAAATGCATTCTGATTCAGTGTATACTAGCTATCTCTCCTCGTGAATAAATTATTGGAAAGGAATACTATTTTCGGCCTACCCTGTAAATTCACGATAAAAAGCCTGCTCTCGGCGTTATTATTTACTGAAAGACGAAGGGTGACATGCACCAGATCCGTTTAACTTTAAAGTGATTCGCTTTCATAATGGGCGTCTATGGGAATACGTTTATCTTGGTTAAACTGATTCCCATAGGTAACCTTTGTGAGATCAGATTAGTTTAGCTCAAACGGATTCGGTGCATGTCACCCGAATTCGTCTGAATCTCCCCCAAACATGTTCGCTGAATAAACGTCACGGCGATCAGCGTGACATATTTTCAGTTGTCATCGGACAGCCAAGTGCCAGACATTGAGACAGACACTGTGGGAATGTAAGCGGTCTTCTTTGCTTTTGGGAAGGAGACCCATAAAAAAAAAAAACTGGGCAAACCCAGCCCAGCAGTGGACCTAGCTACCTTGCCTATCCTCTTCTCACAGTCTTCCAACTAAGGACCCGTCAACCACGACGGCTGAAAGGGAACTAGCGCCTCGGGTCGATGACACGACACCCCGACCGAAGCCGAGCCTTGCGCATGCGCCTTGCGGTTCCACATATCTTTCCCGCTGAGAAATAAAAAAAAAGCTGATAAAATTTGTTCTATTAGGAATTTAACCAAAAATCTACTTAACCAGTACCTCGTCCATATCTACCAACATACCAACTTCCACAGCGATCAAATACATTTTTCGTTACCGTCGAATAACCCGAGTCAGACAGGGTAAGGAAACCCACTAAAAAAAAAAAAAAAGGCAGTGGGCTATGCAAACAGTCGAAAGGTAACTTCTGCGTTCGTCAGTCATGCATTACCCGGGCATTCCCATCTCAAGGTCACATGGGATTGGTTCGGTGTGGATTCCGAACGCTGGAAATAAAGAGAGCCATGATAGATTCAAGGCCGACTGTTAATATTCTTGTTCTACGACCTTGAAGTAGTCCACAGTGAAGATGGCGACGAAACTTGCTTTCAGCTCGCTTCCCACACGCCTCGCCTTGACCTTGCCAACTGCAAGATCTTTTGGGACGATTACGAACGCTTCCGTAACTTTTTTTTGCACGAAACTACGTTGGGGTGAACCAGCGGGGCCAACGGCGCGGCGGATTTGGCTGCTCCAGTCGAACTTTGAGAACGAAATTTTCGGGAGACAGAGATCACAGGCAATACTGAGAACTGCATGCGCGCCCGACGGAAATGGAGCAGAGAATTCATGCCGTGCGACTCGATTGCGAAAGTGGAGATCCTCGGAATCCCTCCCGAATGCGGTGATCTTCGCGCAAACACTTCTCGGAAAGTGAAAAGAAGACACCCGAACCCACACTTACCGACGATCCCGACAGCATCAAGCACCCCCGCCCTCGAATCCACTCGCGCCCCCACTCAAAAGCCAATCGAATCGAAGTGGAACGCCTGCAAACCTCTCCAGACGAAACCCAACGCCCAACTGCAGATAGGCTCCGACCGGGAAAGGCTCAGCGTGCCTCCACGTGCGTGAAGCGGGAGGTGCGGGGTGCGGGGTGCGGGATGCGTCCCGACGAGTCCGGCGAAGGTCGGCCCCTTAGGGCGCTCTCTCGGCTTATATAACCGAAGACAAGAAATATTCTCCTTTCGTATTTCCATTCTCGTGCGGCGACTTCCCTTTTCTTCGATCGCCTTCTCAAAAATCCTTTTTTTTTGTTTCCCTCCCAGAGTAGGTTTAATTAAGTTTTTTTTTTGCGGAGATGAAGCCAAAAGTAAGATCAAAACAAACTTAGAAACATTATCAGCACCGAATAAGCATGAATTTGGAAACCTCGTAACGCCGGCAACACCCGAGCTTCACCGAGTGATAACTCGCTTTCGAGCAGAACCCTTCCTTCTCTTTGTGCACACGTCAGACACACCCTTCATAATTTGATTTTTAAAATATAGTTCGAGGTTGAGATAGCTCTAAGCTGGTGTTCCTGCGATGTCCCATGTTTTTAAAACCGAACTGGTACCAAGAGAAAAAAAAAGTACGCGAGACTTGGACTCCGGGCTTCGCCACCACGGTTGCCGGATCCCCGGAGCCATTTCGGATCGGAGAACGAACTCATTTGAAAATCCCTGCCTGCATCTCCCGTTCGCAATTCGTTCGCAGTTCGTTCTCGTCGAATCTCGAGATTGAAGAGGCGAGATCGAAGCGAGCGAATCGTGGCTGATCGATTTGGCTCCATCAAGGACATGAAATCAAGGGCATCCCTGACTGAAGGCCTCCAACGTCCGCTTCGGCTCTGAAGCAGTCAGTCGACGGACGCGGAGTGGTTCGAGAGGCTCGAGGGACGAGGCTCGCTCGGATGCTTCCGCAGCCACGAAAGTATCTGTTATATGAGTCACCCTCCGAGGTATTCCTTCCTCTTATGCACAACTAGCTATAGACTTCGTGCACATTGGTAGAGCCAAATTTAGAGCTCAAAATCGCAAATGGATCGGTTGTTATTCTGTTCTGCGCCTTTCGTTGCGCCTGAGGGTTTCTCTGCACCCGACGACTCGCACACACGACTCCTTGGTCCGTGTTCCAAGAGCACCGGCCGGACGTGCGACGGACACGCAATCGACGCCGGGGACCGCCGCCATGCATCGCGTGCACGCCGTCCCCCTTTCGGCAGACCGACCGGCCCGACGTAGTAGAAACCGCAGGAGTTGGCGGGAAACCGACCACGAAGGCGTGGATCCCTCCGGCCCACGGTGCACGCACGCCAGGGATCGGATACGACGGTGGCGCGGGGGCCACCGAGTCCACAGAGTGGACTCAGGGGGGGAAGGGGGAGGGGGGGCAGAGCACCCCGAGAAGTACCACCGCCCCTTACCTCGACCCAAGCGTCCCGGCCGCGCAGTTCGTTCCGCGTTCAACTTGGGTGTGTAGGTTCAGTCCTCGTTGGAAGTCAGTGTCGACATGGAACCGACAGCGTGCATAAGACGAGGGAATAAAATAAGACCCTACCAAGAACCAAAATGACTCACGTCACCAGCGACGACCGACCTCGTCCAAGCCATGGACCCCACTCCACGGAAAAAAAAAAAATCATACAAATGGATGTCACATTGCGTCTGGCTTTGCCCTTTTCGCCCTGAGGCTATGAACCTTCTCTCTCTCTCTCTCTCTCTCTCTCTCTCCCCCCCCCCCCCTGCCCCCCC